AGTTTTAATACACATTACATAATAAATCAATGATAGTTTAGTATATTGACAAGGTTTTTATTTTTATTATTGCTTGTAATACGTACATATGCCCCAGCTGTGGTCCTGACATTCGCTTGTTGCTTCGTTAGGATTGGACATGGCATTTTGATGTAAAACACCATTTCAAAACACACAAGCGATTATACCTTCCACAAGTATTCCGATGAATCCAACTTTTGGTCTTCAAATTGTTACTATCAAAGGACAAAACCATAAAGTATAACAGTAGCTGAATCACCGACTTGTATATGCTCGTGCATAACCTCAAACGTCTTCTTCGACGGCGTGTTTATACATACATCAGACTTGATCGAAGGCTTCGGCAGTGTGGTAACGGCGTTTACTTCTATAGACGTCCACTAAGACGTAATAGTCAGAAGCAATACGTGTGAAATGGTTCAATAAGCTAACACACTGTTGCATGAAGGTTTCCATAAGACACGGGTTGTCTCTCTCTTTCAATGGAAAAGTATTCGAGCCTTTCCAGCTCTTGTGTGTGCGATCTCCACTGCCCGTGCATGCTCCCGAAACTATTTTATAAGTGAGGATAGTAATAAGTAGTGTAATATTACTGCAGAATTGTGAAGTGTGAAAGTGGTCATCATCACTGATCTCAGCGATAACTGTGAGTCTGTGAGACTGTGACTAACTGGCTCGGTGCCAGAGTCCAGACTGCCAGTACTATAACTATGGAAATTTATGACACTGTCACACGAGGGAATATATCCTGAAATATGAGATATGTGCAAAAATCGTAATATTACCGAAAATTAAAAATGTAAATATGGAATATGAAATGCATAATATGAAATATGGAATATGTATGATCCCGAAACTTTATTTAGAAAAATCCAATTTTATTGAATTTTAAATATTTCTCTCAGCTTCAACCCATCTTCACACAGACATTTTCACCTCTTTAACCCAACCTTCACAGAGTTTCTCCCTCTTGGTTATAATCATCGGCACATCTTCGATCACTTCTTCCCTCCCATCTTCATAGACCTTCTCACTCTCGGGTATTGTCATCGACACATCTTCAACAACATCATCTTCACAGACCATCTCACACTCGGGTATAGCAATCGGCACGGTGTAGAATATCCCCTCCGCTTTTTCTTCTCTATCATATGGCTAACCTGATTCCTAAACGCACTAGTGGTGTACACCGCCTTCGTCTCATTGTTATCATTTCTCCAAAACTAAAAAACACCACACAGATTTTTACCGCTTATATCAAGTTTTCCAATCAAGACCTTTCCCGTATCATGAACAGGTATAACAGTGGCATTCTTCTTCGCATCGTCATATATGCGAATATGACCAGATTTTAAGACATTGATATTAACAGAGATACGAGTTGATCCAGTATTTCTTTTGCTTCTTTGGAGTCTGGGTTCTTTACGGCTTGGTGTATTTTCTGTTCAAATGTGGGATCGTTTATAGTGTCCTGTATCTGCTTTACCTTGCCTGGATGTCGTGAGTATGATAACAAAACATTCATAGCACATTCATGACTTTTCTGTTGGTCAGTATTTAGGAATATAAAGTCAGTATTTGTTGCATATCTATCTCTGTAGTAGTGTAATAAATGATCGATAACATCATTAGGTATTGTTCCTTTACATTGTAATTCAGTACCTGTTAGAAAGAGCAATGGAAAACAGCTGCAAATCTCTCGTCTTCTATGAATGTAGTATCACGATATGGTATGGTATGGACCAGTAAGTATCATGCAATGTTGTAGGCTTACAGTAAAATAGGTATTTTGATGTATGGCGAACCAATCACAAATATGATGACCCAAAATTGATCGATGAGATCAAATAAGTATGAACAGTCTAAACTCTGATGAAGCTTGGTCTTTTTTAATACAATTATATGCGACTTTTTAATTCCTGTCGACAAGAATTTTGCTTTCTATTCTAAAGTGTGATATAGAATTGGTTACAAGTATCGTGATAAAGATTAGGACACTATCGACTTGAAGAAATATCCTAGTATCGCGATTGAGATTTAAACAGTTATAAACTGATGTGAGATTCTATATGTAACCGTATTTTGCACGGATTGTGAAATGGAATATGAAAGTGCTACTTAGAAAAATTGGATACCGATTGAAGAACAGACTATGTGCCATTCATATCGGAAACGTCTTGCATAGAGTATACAGATCCTCAGCTTCTAGTACATGAAGTATGTGTGTGATCAAAGTAGTTAGAAAGTGTATTGATATATATGTATCCCAATACAGTGAAATTTAAATAAAGACAGCTTTCCGCTGATATCCTACATCTTAGAGAAGATAAACAAAATATAAAATCCACAAGAAATTGAACTACATAAATATTTTCGTGTCCTTATTTCCTGTAGCAGGATCACTACTATAACCATGGGGTACAACGGGCGGAGGTGCACCGGCAAGCATTGAAATGGAAAATTTCGAGCGTACGTGTACTAGATATTGACCATGGAGTGGATGATTTTTATTAAGATGGAAATACCCGTTGCTTTTACAAGAACCAGTGTGTTTTGTTTTCGGATTGCTATCTTGTAGTGCCAATCACATATTTATTTTGTTTAGTACAACTGGCAAGTACTTTGTGTACACTTGGTACATATCTGGAAATAGTATACCAATGCTATACTGATTGTGAAAAAAACAGTTCAAGCGCTACGGTTGGGTACCCTTAAAATGTGTGACATAAAGCAAACCGATGCGCCGAGTCGTAGTCGATTTGGTTAAACTCTCGCGATTCAAGCATACTGGCGATGTATAATCTGTCATTCCTTATGTGTGGCTTCTGGCTATAACTTACTTTATGCAATACCGAACAAACGCCCGCAAACAGTGGTAGAGTTATGCTATGTGTCTTAAATTACTTCGGTTCCCCCCAAGTAGTATGTTCTATTAACGGTAGTGGGTTTTGTACCGACGTAATGGAGGTACTTGTACTTGTATCGGTCATGACCCATAGGCGTGGTATTCCTTATAAACCTCAAACGCAGGGTGCAAATGGGACACGTCATAGAAAACTTAAGAAACTCTTGCGTACCGCACTAGATGACGTTGAGGTCATATGGCCTTATCATTTAAAATGGGTTCAGACTCGAACGAATAACTGCATAAATCCTGAAACTGGAGCACTCCCGTTCCACTATTTCTTTGGTCGCTATAGTAAATTACAAGCAACGTTGGACAAAACTGCGTCCGAGAAACACGTTACCCCGTAACCACAAAAGATCGAGTATATGTAGAACATTGTTTACCCCTGTTTACTCGAGCACAAGAATCGCCTCCTATTTAAAGCGTACGACCGATGGAATAACACTTAGAACATTGTTCTGTTCAACGTTGCGAATACGTGAACATTCTATTCGCAACGCCAACATTACCGATTCCCAGCGTGTGCATGTAGCAGATACCGATCCCAGGTAAACATGCCTTCTAAGCCGACAGTAGGATGTTTCTCCTTGCCCTCAAATTGGCCCTACCAGGCTTTGGGGCAGTTCCACCACGGTACGTGCATACTGGTGGTGGATATTGTAAATAGTAAATGTTAGATAGGAAACGTACCATTTAAAGAACACTTCGAAACATTTATATTGATAACTTACAGATCAAGCGAGCCCAAGATTCCTGGGAAACGACGGGACGAATTCTCGGCCATATATTGTTTGCATTCGTCTTCGGTTGGCAGGCCCAAATACCCATCCCCATATATAGCCTTCATCGGCGTCAGGAATCGTAAAAATATTTCCCTGGACGTTGATTCTCCTGTCTGTAAGAACTCGTCGCAAATGTCGAATGTTAGATTGTATGCTAAAATTCTGAACACTACCATAAATTTCACATCGGTCGAATGACCTATTTTACCAAAGGCATCAGGTGACTGTATAAAGTATGGGTCTTGGATACAAATATCACGTTTGATTGCATGGTATTGCGACCTATATATTTGATATCGTCTTTTAAAAGTCTTTTAGCTGTTTCTTCAGAAGGTGTGGATCGTTAGCTGTTTCTTCAGAGGGTGTGGATCGTCGGGGTCGGTGAAGTACATACGTAGGTACTTGACATCCGTGCCTGCGTGATCTCTTTCTACGTTCGGCCTTTTCCCATTTTTTGATCCAGCCCAAGTTCGCGTAAACTCCGTCACCTTGTCCCCACTACTTGCCTCTTCCAACAAAATATATAAAGCTGCAACAGTCATACGCTCCATCTCATCCTCAATTTCATCCTGATCCTCTTCTTCAGATATGGTTAAATTGGAAAGGTCGGACTCCGGATATGAAACTGTACGACATTTTTCTGTGAAATTCGTCATTTTGTGGGATCAATCTTCTTCAGACGTTCGTATTTAGCACCTGGAATTTAGTTATCTTTCAATATCAAATAATCTCCTTGAAATTTCCACTCATATCGACCTTCTTCAAATTCAAGCAGTCGTTTTGTTTCTGGCCACAATACTCTCTTCAGTTTTATACAAGTACAGCCACGGCAATCCTTTGATGGCAATCTTGCCCAACAATGGCCTGAAGGTGGGCTCGTTGGCAGTAAACAACTGTGATTTTCTGGGAGCACAGTTTCCTTATGATATGCATAATCCTCGGGTCTAGGACAAACTGGCATACACAATATGTACAACATCTGCTCACATATATAACAATAACCTGTGACCTCCGGGCTATAGAATTTTTACACTTCCAACACGGTTCAACACGCGACTTCCACCAAGGATCATGCGAATCTTCCTTCTGTTTTCGTGAAAGGGGTGTATTCATAGTGGTATATAGTAATGGGGTCATACTGTGTACACACATTTCTGTTTAATGAAACTTGTCCCTGTGCTTGTATACAGAAGTACACATGTATTTTAGGGCCCATATGTGTATACACAATGATAAAGTTATTACGATCTCATTCCATCTACATTCAATTTTTTTGACAACGAAAGCATCTTCATTTAAAACGAGTTAAAAACTATCAGTAGGGATAGAATTGCGCAATATATTTAGATTTGCCAATTCAAATCCACAGCTGTTTCCAGCGGCGGTTTGGACTCAAATCGCCGCTGGAAATATATATAAAAATGACAAAAATCAATTTGGAAGTATTCTCAAACTAATTTCTCAACCAATATGGGCATGGAAATCTTTCTTAGACGCATTGGGGAGACTCCACCGCTAGTGTCGCCACGGGAAGTTGGTATTATAGTGCTACACATAGATGCGAGTCACATGGGTTGTGAAGCTGCATTGTTTGTAAAACGCAATGATGTGATGCTGCCAGTTTCTTTTGCATCTACGCGCTGGGTTCAGCACAGCAGCTCTACTCCATAACACAGCTGGAAGCCTTAGCTATTGTTTGAGCTTATGATCAATGGGCGAGACTGCTAGATCGTCCGCCAAGATTGATATACATTGAGACAGACCACTTACCATTGTTGAGCTTCTGAAAACGCCTGGGTGATGAGGATACGGCGCGTGGTCGAAGAGTTCGCCGTTGGTTCTTGATATTGCCTTGCGGTAGGGGTGAGTTAATGGGCAATACTGATACATTATCTAGACTGGCTTCTGCAGACAATCACTCAATCACAGTTGCTATGTCATTGATGACAGCGGAACCGGAGTTGGATATAAAGCTACATGATAGATACAAACGTCTGGCCGACTTCTAATGCAAGGTGACGAATGATGATGTATCTGAGAAGCAAGTGCGTTGCATCCTTCAAGACTGCTGAGCCTGTGCATTTATGCGTAAAGAATTTTCGATAGGCGTTGCTCCTGTCGTGAAGGATACCGAGCGGTTCATGGAAAGAATTCATATGGATGTGTTCTATGTATCCCATAATAAGAAAGCGGGCACTCGTGTGATCTTTCTCGCGCAAGACAAGTTTACAAAATGGCTACGGGGTCTAGAGCTAAGTGATCGGTCCGCCTTAACACAACCCCAGAGGCGACAAACGCGGGCATTTGGTATACCCGACGAGTTAATAGTCGATCACGGCAAAGAACTTGACAATTGCGAGTTCATTGCCTTTTGGGTATAATTGGTGTGCACGTTCATTGTACCACCGTTGAGCGGCACGAAGCCAAAAACTGTCTTCCATTGGCCCCGACCTCCTCCAGCAATTACAGGAGCGCCACAGCTTCAACGACTTTCAGGGTATCTGGACCCTTCACGAACACCTTGAGTCCTTTCTGCAGCATGTAGAACAACACTGGTACCCACACTCGTCTCTGACACATCAACAGATGTTCCCCATACCCCGGCTAACCACACTGTTGAAGTACTACTTTTAAATTTCGGCTCAAACCAAGCCAATCCAGGCTAACCAGCACATACCGAGCGCATCTGTGGTCTGGTGCAGCATCGGTTCACTCCCAACCTCGTTCCTCAACAATTATGACGGACAACTTGGTCCTACTCTGCATTTCGTACTCTGCACTAACCCATTCCAAGGCACTACACGGAGCAGACCCGATCCGTAACACAATGGTGGGTACGCTATTTAGTAGGTCAGCAAGCAAATACGTGGCACACTCGATGGTGTCAGGTTTTTGTCAGTACCGGCATGAATTGACCCAGCGCATATCATCCGAATACTGACCACTACTTCCCATCGACCTTCCCCGAACAATTACAACGGCTATGAGAGCCATACCATACCATATGTGCATACATTGTAACTTATCTCTTGAAATAAGTAATATTATCCCTACTTTTATCGTAGGCTTTGACTAGGCCGATCCAAAAGTCAATAAAACACGGCTGGAACGCCGCGGGGCCTAAAAGCGTTTATTTGTAGGGGTAATTTATTTGCTCATATTTTGTTAGGGTTTAGGGTTTCTAGTGTACCTTGTGGCATATGTAGCCTCTCTTTTTTTCAGGGGGCTATGCTTGTGGACCAGGATTATTGGACGGGCTTTTGGAGTTTGGCCAAGAATTTATGGAAACTTGGGATTGCCGGCCACGATCAAATTGGGATCAGGACAGGGAATATACCTCTGGAAAAAAAAAAATGGAACAAAACCGTTTCCAAGCGATATTTTGTAAAATTATCGGAAACGGGGTTGGAAACGCTTTAGTAGTAACACACACCATAAATTACGCCACACATGCACACACTCACTCGTAGAATAGTGCCCAATGGGTATAGCTGACGCATTCAGATATGTCACGAAGGTGGCTGACGGCGAAGTCAGAAGTATCTATGACATAAAAAAGAAAGCCACACACATACATACTCTATCAGATGCACTTCAAAACCAAAAGTATTTCACTGATGCATCATGTTTGATCTACACAGCGATCACTAGATGCACACGCTCTAACTATTCAAATTCCGAGGCCATTGCTAATGGGATACACAAGTATAATAATGGTGGCTGTACGCCGGCACTCAAAAAGGAGATTGTGTCGGTCTTTCAGCAGTACCACAACACAGTAACAACACATTTGGGGTGCGAACCTTTTTACGCATTTGATGGAGATATTCCTCCTGTGACGAAAAAGGAAGCGGCAGTGAGAAGGCGCAAAGTTAAAGACGCATACATCTTGTGGCAGTATGAGGATGCAAAGGGTCAGGGTAAATCAGCAAAGGATTTTCAGCGTTGAAAAGTGCATGTACACGAACATGGGAACAGGTACGTGTAGCCATTGGTTTTTGTGCAACTCAAAGATACCCAAGGATGGTAGCGCCTTATGAAGCCGACGCAGAACTAGTATACTTGTGTAGACAATCAGAAACTCCGTCTTTTATAGCTACAGCAGATTCAGATATATTAGCATACAGTGGAGTAAATGCATGCTTCAATCTTACAGCTGAAGCTGCCAAGGATAAACTCACGAAGTTTAAATGTATATACACAGACAAAGATCGTCAGGAGTATTTACGGCGGGTGGGTCCATCAAATGACATATTTTTACCACACGTACTCTTACAAGGTTGTGATTATACACGTCACTTACATCATAAAGGTAAAGTCTTGTTCGTACTAGGTGGTAAAAAAATCCAAAAATAATATGTGGAGGCCTTAAATATGGTTCACATTCCAAATGCCAGCGGCGTGGAATCTGAAGCTCACAGTAGG